GCTTTATTTTAGATCAGGGTTTCTCAACATTGGAGCTACTGAGGTTTGGAGGCTTATATTTTGTATGAGAGGCTGTGCTATATATTGTAAGAAATTTGGCTTCTACCCAAGGGATACCAGGAGCACCCCCACTTCCAGTTATGACAATCAGAAATGTCTTCAGATGTTGGCAAGTGTCCCTAGGGGTCAGAATCAGCCCCCAGCTCCCCTTCCTTTGAAAACAGCTGTTTGGGATATATCTTATATTCAGCATCTAAATGGGTTGTGTAATTTTTAGACAGAGTTATTTTTTCCTTTTAATAAGTAAACATCACATAATATATTTGATGTTTGATCTTATTCTGGCCTCTAATTTTATATTTGTTGTTGCTTATGTTTCCTTTGTTTTCTATCTCTTATTACATGGAATGTCTTGTATATTTTCTGTGTGTGCATGTGTACATGTGTTTGTGTGATATTTTCTTCTCCTGAGATGTTAGAAGGTTTATAATTTTTCCAGTCTTCCAGTGATATAATGATAACTTTGCATCATCTGTTGACACCTTTCCTTTTTAAAAAATCAGCTTGGCTGTATTTATTGATTCCCAGCCATCAACCTTGAAAAATTAACATACTAGTACTTCCTTCCACCTTTGAAACAGGTGTAATTTTGCTAATATTTTTAAGCTTGCTTTTTGCTCATTTTATTAGATTTAAGAAGAACCAAGATTCTGTGGTCTCCATGTCTCAGAAATCCACATCATCACGCTGCACATTTACTTTCTTCCATAATTAAAAGTATATATAGAGATAGATATAGATATATTTCTGATATGTATATATACTTTATCTATCTATATATACTTTTTGGTCAATGGAACAGTTCATTAAGGAATTAATTCTTACTTATATCTCAACCCTAAATGATAAAGTACATGGTTAAACAATTGCCAAAATAGTTAATCCCCAAATATCAAAGTGTATTGATATTACACTAGTTAATACATGTTACATATTACACTAGTAAGAGATGCTGCTTTTAATAAGTAAGAAAAAAAGATGGATGGACGTGTCGCAGATAAGATATTTTCAACAAATTATAACAGGAAAACTTATTGGGTGATGATAGCTGCGTAGAATGGAACTGGAGGATATTCTTTCCTGTGAAAGACTTACTTCACAATCTGAATTCTTTCAATATATTGAAAATGATTAACAGTGGAAGAAGGCAAAGATGATGGTGGGTCAACACATGTATGGTCTTATGAGTTGTTAGAATATTGAAATAATTCTCTTCAGATCAGTACGGATTTGCTGCTTTGACCTTCCAAGTGGCCTAACTCCTCTTGACTGTCCCAGCCCCTCCACTAGGATCCCCAGAATCTCCCCATAACTGAACAAGGAAAGAATTAATGCTATCAGGTCAGGGAACCTTAGGGACCGAGGTCTGTTGCTATGGTTTTCTGTTCTGTTTGGTGATGCCTGTGCTAATTATAAGATTAAAATTATCCCTGGTAATTTTAATCTTATACCTGGCAGTCAGTATGGTTCAGAGTCCTCTCCCTGTTAGATAATGACATAGATAGATAGATAGATAGATAGATAGATAGATAGATAATAGATATTCCTGGAGTGAACATGCTTCACATCAATTTCCCATTAGCCAAAGAATACACACACACACCCACACACAATATTGAAGTGAAGAAATCTTTTACAAGGAAAACTGTTACCTGCACCACTTGGCATAAGCAAACAGCCAAATATTTGATGGTTTTTTTTTCTTGAAAAAATGTAATCTCAAAGACTGAATCTGTAAAGTCTCCAAACACATCATCCTTGGATCTGTCATTGTCTTATACCAGGCATTAAAAACTATCCACAGGTACAGAAGGTTCAGAATATGCATGTGACAAGAAACTCATAGGACAAGCCAGTACATGTCTGTACATGTATGTACTCATAAAAAACTACATCAAGAACATTAATATCATATCACTGGAAAAGAAAAAGAAAAAGGAATCACAGGGGAAATTGCCCAGTGCTTGCTTATGCTAGGTTTTGTTTGTTTTGTTTTGTTTTGTTTTTAAGGAGCAAAAGTTCTCAAGACACTGCCAATGGATTAAGAACTTGGGTTCTGGAGTGACTTAGGAAAGCTGATGATGTGCAAAGCCCTAGTAAGAGATAAGCATTGAACACAGGCACGGGCTGGGGGTGGGGGGGGCGGGGCGCAGGGGCCTGGGAATGTGTGTTATAATATGCATGAAGTTAATATAAATAGTAAAAAGCAAATAAATCATTACTTCACTTATCCTGACAATAGTTCAATTCAAGAAATCACCATTGTGATTGATCCTTTCTTCAATGTTCCTTTTACATTTTCTGATACCTTATATGAAAACAACATACATCCCATCTTATATTTTAGCCCAAGTTTTAGAAGATGGCTATTTGGAATTCTTAAATTGATAAACAATAAACTTTTCATCATTTGCAAATTTCCCTTTATTAAAGATAATTCATTACTAATATAGATTGAGATATCCTTGTGAGATTTATTCTGATGAGTTTTAAGCCTCTTAGTGTCTTTTGTGCTTTAATACTCCTCACTCTGTTTTATAGTAAACACCTTTCAAGTTACACGAAGCATTTTAAATAGCTTTGTATCATCAATGACAGAAAAAAAAACTGGCATTCGAAACTTAGGCAAAAGAAAGTACAAGCTCAATTCCTAAGCAGGAAGAAAAAACAACCTGATATTACTTAATGTTAAAAATTAAAATGATTTTAAATGTGGAAAAATATGTTTCAGGTGCTAAAAATATCATGGAAATTTAACATCACTTGAGGTATTTATTCAGATGCTTGACAGGAATTAATAATCATCAGCTCTGAGTTTAATACTAAACCTTTAGTCCCAAAAATGGCAAATAAATGAACTTGTAAATAGAAACAGTCAAGTCCAATCTTAATGAACTTCTTCATTGTTCTATATTAAGAGCAGAGTTTGAGAAAGGAAAGGTCTGCAACGGAGTACATACAAAACTGAGGTGGAAAGTGGGTAACATATATAGCAGAAAAATAGCACAACAATGACTTTTTGCATAGAATATGCATTTTGCATTATTTACATATTGTAATATACCATTGACGGGAATGTGGGGCTGTGAAGCAGCAAGGAAGCAGATGAGAAATTTCACAGAGAAAATGTGTCTCTTCAGAGGTCAATAAATCATGGCCTCCACTGAATAAACACAACTCGGGTTTTCTTAGATTCCTCTTTTCCTGGCTATCTACAATACTTGCAACACCTTTAAATTTTAAGATTAAGTTGTCAGTTCTTATAAAAGATTTCCCTACTCTTAAATTTCTAAGAGAGGAAGGAATATAGTGCAGCATTAATTTCTCTACCACAGGGCACTGCTCTCTGAATAATTCAGAGTTTCACTGTCCAGGGGAAAAAGTGGATACCTAGCCTGAGTGTATGGAATCTTGACTGAGCTCTCACTTGTTAGAAACTACAAATCATGATACTTGATAAACATGATTCAAAATCTAGTGTTGCTTCAGGTAGGGCAATTAGGAAGAGAGTAAGGTGATGTTAGTCTTGGTTAAGATTTCTAAGTTCCCATAAGGAGCTTAGTCCCATAAGGGGACTTAGTCTGATGGTTGCTGAAGTATAAATGAGGCAGTAGCAACTGTAGAAAAAGTAAATGTCATAGAAAGGGATTATTTTTTAAATTGCCTCATCTGTAAATTTACTATAAGAGACATATGGTAAAATTGAAACTAAAGGTCACAGGCTGCTTTAGATGCATGGACTTAATTTAGAGAAAGTCGTCAACAACTTAGTTTGTATTCATTATAATCATTTCATTTAGGAAATCTCTAAAAGGCAAATGGGACTTTTGAGCCCATGAAAGATTAATTTTTGTCACTTTGGCCCCAGAGTGGCTCAAGGTCAGAGAAATAAAGATCATATATTGATAATGGTTTATCAACACCTATGCTTGAGGAACATGGCAATGACTGCCTAGAATTTTGTTTTACTACATCATATGTGTACATGTGAGTGTGTGCCTGTTTGCCCTTGAAAATCACTCTGTCACTTCCCCAAAATGAACACCCTAAGACCAGGAATTTCTTGTTCATTTTTGACATCAGTACAGCACAATGTTTGCTAAACGATTCCTTTCTCAGACTTGTCATATCCCTCCTGATTCCTCTTGGAGCAATAATCCTTCTAGCATTTACCTTGACTAATTACTTCTTCTGTATCCTTGACATTTAATCCCCCCCAGCCTCAGTGTTTTAATCTGTAAACTGGGGATGATATAAATTTATATATATGTTAAAATCAAGAGAGAGGCACATAAAAATGCACATTTTAAAATGAAGAACTAGATATATATGTCATTTTAAAAAAGGACAAAATGTGTAAAAGCAAGAAAAAAGTGAGGGAAATGTAATTAGAGTATAATAAAGAACTGAAAATCTGATTTCCTCAATCTTTATTCTGAATTTCCTGGTATTTAGTGTGTAAGTTTCAAAATCTTGGTTTTACCCAGCAAATATGAATGAAAAAGAATTGAGAATATATGAGACGCCCGAGTGAAATATAATGCTATCTTCAAGAAACTGCAGAGAAATAAGGGTAAATTTCAAAGTAAATGACTTCTAGAGTTTTACAGGTTCTCTAACCCAAACTAGTGTCCAGATCTCACCTTCATTATTTTTCTCATTTCCTTTTGGTCTAATTAATCAAAGTCCTTCTTAGAATGTTCATTTCTGGCAGTATGTCTTCCTGAATATGAATAAGAAAAAAAATACCACTTGATGTTTGAAATTATGGGGGTAATTTCAATGACGGAAATAGATGACTGGTAAAAGGGAAGGAAATCTTTGATTAAATATATTCATAAAGGTGTCAAAGGCTTATAAAGCCAATACCTGGGGAAGAGGAAGCTGTAGGACTACCAGATCTTCTCTGGCGAAGGGTGTTCCCTGAAATTCTCACCACCATGGACAACAAAGCGCTGTCCCTGAAAGGTATGTGCCACAACTCATTGAGTCGTTGGCTTTAGCAACACTCCTTGGTGGGTACTAATCTGAAATTTAGCTAATATTCTCTTAGCAAGAGGTTTCAGGTTTATAGAGTTTAGAAAATCTATTTAATCATTGCTCTTTTAAGTAATTGTACAAAGGCCCAATAGAATAAAACAGTGGTTCTCAAATGAAGGAATTCTTCTTCCAGAGACATATCGCTAATGTGTGGAGATATTTTGGGTTATCTTAATTGAGGTGTAAAGCATTCCTGGTACCTAGTGAGTAGAGGTCGGAGATGCTGTTAAACAAACTACAATGCACAGGAGAGCCCCTAAAACAAGAAATTATCCAGCTCAAAATGCCGGTGATGCCAAGGTTGAGAAACCCTGGACTAGAATAAGACCAAAAGTGTCTTTAGGTCCAATTTATCACAACTCCAGAGGCAGAAACTAACGTCTTCTGCTTCCCAGGCTTCTTGTGTCATTTGGTCATCAGTCAGCCTGATGAAACGTTCAACTCTGAAGCCATAATGTAGACAATGATAGCAGAATTTTCTCGTATAATACTGTGTTGATTGGAGTTAAGACAAATGACATTTCAAAAGGAAAAACAGGCCAGTAACAACTAATCACCTTTACTTTCTTGGTTGACATTTGCAAAAAAAAAAAAAAAGAAATTAGTACAACCATAAAATTTGTTTTATGAAATGAAGAACAAAAACATTTATCAATTTTATCTTATCTTAGACTGTGAAAATCCTTCAGATGATAAATGTACAGGTAAATGCAGTCAGAGTTAGAGTATTTATCCAGTTATGAATTTCCTAGAACCAATATTCCAATTTCTCTATCTGCTAAGCACTTATTATTTATACCTGTAAGTAAATATCCATCCAGCTACATTTCATGACTATAAGGTACAGAAAATAAACTTTTTGGAAACATCATGTTTTTAAAAAATTTGAAGTCTATATATGAATCATCTCATAATATTAATATATTTTATTTTGCAGCTAAAAGCTATTTAGTGGACATTCTATATTGAATATTTTTTAGATATTTTAGGTGTTTAGGTTTAGGTATTTTTTACACAGAAAATTTTAGCACTTACATAGTTTTATCTTAGACATATCCAATTATATTTATTGAAGATTCCTTAAAAGTTTTGCTTTTCTGATCACATTTTAGTATCAGATATTCTTTTGGAGTCATTTGATGTTAAAAAACTCAACATATGGTTTCTTTCCTTTTAAAAGTATAAATTTTTGACATGTTAGAGGTCCACACCTGTCCATCTGCTGAGATAACAAATTGATGACTAAATCATCTCTGATAATTGTCAAAGATTTTTAAAGTGGGTGTTTTATATTTATCCACTTGTTTCTGTCTTACAGAGCAGAAACAAGTGCATAAATAAACTTCCTAAGGCCACTGTTTTCATGGAATCAAAGACTGTGTTTTGCAAGTAATGACAATGATCTCTGGAAGCAATGAGTCATCGTGGCTACCAGTTGGTGCCTGTCACACACTTATATAGCCTGAGAGCTCACAGGTGTGTGTGATGGGTGGGACCGGAGGAAGTGAATAGATGGCAGTATTAGCATCTAGCTTCCTCCACCTGCTAATAATAGGACTTGGGGAGAATCCCTTAATCCCTCTAAGCCTTCTTGTTCATCAGTATAATTTGTTGATAATAATGGATGGGTCTATCTCACTGGGCTACTGTGAAACTAAGTTTTTTTTCAAATGTTAAAATTTTGGACAGAGTGTCAAGCACTTTGATGCACAGCATTATTAAGGTGAGTTAGCAGATCTAGGCTGCAGCATCATTTGTTATGGTACACTTCTCCTCATATTCAGTACTATCATCCGTCAGACATGTGCTTATTCCTAACAGTCATGGAAGTGAAACAAACAGGTCAACTGTGCTGTCCTTGCTATTTCAGTGTCTAAATGCAAGTGTTAGTCAGTAGAGTGTTTAAAAAAAAATTATGAAGTCCAAGAGAGTTAGGCTGCTGAAAATCTACAGAAACTCCCAAGACACTAAACTCTCTTAGAAGAATGGTTTAAGCACTCTGGCTCAAAATTTATTTAAGCTCCAAATGTTTGCAAGATATAGAAGCACTTCTGGGAGATGTACAAAAATGTAAGGAGCAACCTACTTCTCCAAATATGTATCTGTGCAAATATAATTACATACCTAAATTTACACAGTGGGAAGTGTTGATTCTTCCCCATCCCAGCTATTATAGTACCTAATCATGCTGAGGGCAATGTGGAGAGATAAGGCTGTCCTCCACAGGACGACTTTTGATAACCTCTGCTGAACAGATCATCTGAGAATGGCTCCTGTTTTTGTTTAAGCAGGATCATTCCTACTCCTCCAGCTGCTGTCCAACCTGCTCCTGTGCAGGAGCGTGGACTCCCTGCCCATCTGTCCCAGTGGGGCTGTCAACTGTGAAGTGTCCCTCCGAGACCTGTTTGACCGTGCAGTCGTCCTGTCTCACTACATCCATAATCTCTCCTCAGAAATGTTCAGGGAATTTGTAAGTACCACACTTCTTGCTTCTTCCCAGAAGGAACCTTCATGCGAATGACTGAGCTATACCTCACTTTAAACAAGAAAGCCTCATGAGTCAAATTTCAAATAATGCACCTTAGAGGTAAAAAAGGCATCTGTAAATGAAATGTGAAACAAGAAGAAAGGGACAGTTTCATGAAATACCCATGATCTTTAAAGAGTGTAACAGGTTGTTTTTTTTTTTTAATTTCCTTTCATTCATTTTGGGTTTTGTTTTTGTTTTTGTTTGAATTTCCAAAAATCTTTAAGCATTTATGTTAGTTGGCTTGGGCTGCCATACAAAATATCATAGATTGTGTAGCCTGAACAACAGAAATTTATTTTCTCACAGTTGTAGAGGCTATGAGATCAAGGTGCCAGAATGATCAGGTTCCAGTAAGAGCTCTCTTCTTCCCAGCTTGTGTTCTCTCTCTCTCCTCACATGGGAAGAGGGGGGAGGTAAATGGAGGGACAGAGAAAGCCAGAGGAGAATGAGCAAGAGCTGGAGGACACTTTGCTGTCTCTTCTTATGAGGAGAATAATCCTCCTGGATCAGGACTCCCCCTTTATGCCTTCGTTTAACCTTAATTACCTCCATAAAGACCCTACTTCTAAGTACATTAGTGGTTGCAGCTTCAACATATGAACTCGGGGGTGGGGAGACACAGACACCTGACATAAAAAACTGTTAGGTAGGGCTTAGGAAAAAGAAGTGTGTTGATTTCTTGTCCTTGCACGTAGGGTATGTGTCTGCCAAGGTATTCTTTACCTAACAGACTGCAGACATCTAATAAATGAGGATTGCACTACAGTGAGCTGGACGGATTGGACAATATTAAATTAAACTGAATGCACATTAAGAAAATAAACAAATAATAATAGCTAGCTTTCCTGAAACTCAGAAATGCTATGAATTGTTATTCTAAGATTTCCAATGTATGGGTTTAGAACTATAATAGAAGGATTGATTTAGAAATGGAAGCAATTGTTCTCTTTCTGAGTAAGGTACTTTGAAAATTGCATGTTAACTCTTTTAGGTCAATCAAAGATTCGACAGTGGATTAGAACTTCAATAAATCAAAGGATCTTCAGAAAGAATGTGACTCAATGTTTGTAATAAATATGTATTTATGTAGTTTTTTTTACACACCAATTTTTCTTTCATAGTAAATTTTTGATTGGCCACCTCTAGTCTTCCAAATCTTCCTAGTAAGCTCTTTAAGTTTCCACAATGTTTGCTAATGATTAGGGTTTTTCTGTTAATGTGTTAGCTATAATATTTTCTGTTCTTATTGTCAGTTCACTGCTTCATATTTCCTGTTTTTCTGACTTATTATTTCATTATGATCAACAAATTATATTCTGCATCTATGATGAAGATGGTATAGTTTTATGGATTTAGAGATCAGTCAAACAAAAGTTATGATTTTATAATGCCTATTAAAAGACTATATCTGTTCAGACCCACATAAACAAGAGATTAAATGACTAACTATAAGTACATATGTACTATCACATTTGGTTCAAGTACTAAAGAAAGATGATGCATAATAAATGTTTAATATTTAATAATTCTAAAATATTTTTAGTGTTTACTTTCCAAGTAGTAATGTATGGGAAGGATGAAATTAAGGAAATAGCAAAGAAGAGACAAGTTTAGAATTTAGGAAAGTTAGTTGAAAATAAATGTATATAGAGATAATAGAAAGGTAGGGGAAAGAGCAACTTTTTTAATTCTTGTGTTTTAATTTTTGTGTGGCTCTCATTTCTGAAAAATTATATATCTATCAAATGTGTTAATATTTTGGTAATAGATTCATTGATTCAATGCCCAAACAACCTCAATTGAATTTGTTCTATCACTTTCAGGAACAACAGTATGCACAGGGTAAGGGGTTCATTACCAGGGCCATTAACAGCTGCCACACTTCTTCCATCCCTACCCCTGCAAACAAGGAGCAAGCCCAAAGTATCCACGTGAGTCTTTTGTACAGGCTTCTCACCAAAACAACTGAGGCAAGAGATTATTAGGGACATTATAATAGGTAATGGTAATTTCACATGCAGAGCAAAAAGGAGGAAAAATAGCAATCAAAGAGAAGTTAAATATTTGGTAAACTATTAGTAAAATCAAATGCAGACTAAATATTGCAGCAGCAAAATAAATAACAGATCTATAAATTGGCCATGCAGACATGATTTTAATCAATGCATTAGACTCAGGTCTGCATATATTATACTCTATGAAACCATTAACTGAATTGGACTTGCATGTGTGAAATACAGGGTTTGAAAAATTCATGGATACATAAGAAATATAAATGCAGTTTTACTTATGGCAAGGCCTCCTGCTAGGACAGCACTTCACATTGCTGACCACCACACCACCTGAGCCGTCACACCTGGACTTCCACTGCACCACACACGAGGCTCTCCCTCTGATTGGCCTACTTCTCTGTCACCACTTCTTCTTCCTTTCTTCACTCTTCACTCACTCTTCAGCCACCTCTTCCTTCTTAATGATAAGTCTCACTCCAAAACAGGACCTGCAAGTTATTGTTTTGCTTCTCATGACTATTGCCTCTGTTCGATGACAACAAAGGCTGTATATCAAGCTCCAATCATTTATCCCACTTCCAATTTATTTTTATTATAATTTCCCTTCTGGTTTCCTGTCATAGCCACAGTTAACATGATTTTTAAAAAATATCTTCACATATATAGCTCCCATAAATACAATGTGTTCTCTCCTTACAACTTTGGTAATATGACCAGCATTCTTTCTGTCTGCTAAGCTCATTAGTAATAAGTATAATGATGATTATGATAGTAATAATAAAATAAAGAAGGTTAAAAGAAGGAGGAGGAAGAGGAATTAAAATTTGTTGATAGATACTACATTGCCAGACGCCTTACAAAGCACTTGATGTGCATTACTTTATTTAATTCTCATATGAAATCCTATTACGCAAAGTGCTGTTATTACACCTACTGACATAAGGAAACCATGGCTTGAAGAGCTGATAGAATTTACACCAGTCACATGGTAGTAAACAGCGAGCCTGAGCTGCATCCAATTCAAAACTCTCATACTTCATTGTTATGCTCCAGTACCCCTAGCAAAACTACCCTGCCATCCGCTACATAACCAGTCCTCTTTACCTTCCCTTTCTTTCATATCTCAGTACATGCTGCCATCTCAATGCCTGTCTGATTCTTCTGTACTCTTCATTTCCCTTACCACTTGACATCAAGATAGCAAACATTTTTGAATCAGAGGTGATCAGCTCTCTGGCATTTCATGCACAATCCTTGTAATAGTAAACTAGTGGGCAAAACATTCATTGCAAATTTCCTCAATGCTGGTATTAAAGATAGACAGCATCCTGCCGTTTTAGCCACCTGAGTATGTCAGCAAATGCAGTGGTCTGAGAGCAGTGTGGAGGCAGTGTTGGCATAGATTAAGGAGAGCACGTTTATGAATAGTGTATCTTTTTTTCATTGTCTTTGTTCTAATTTTGTATTAAAAGAATAGAAATCATAAATCAATACATTAACGAATACTTTGGTTCATTAATAGGAATTAATCTTTAAATGAAATGAGTCGGGCTCGCTGTCATTGACACTGCTGGAATCTGAAAGTCCTGAGTCAGGAGGGGCATGTATAGAGCTCCAACAAAACTCTGGTTTCTACCCAAGGTCTGGCAAAGCAGTCAAAAACAGTTACCTGTGTAGGCAAATGGTAGAATTTCAGAAGGAAAACAAAATTCTTAGAACTCTCATTAAAAGAGGTAGTCATTTAAATAAGCCAGATTTCTTGAAATTTTAGCAAAGTGTAAGCTCATAGCTTAAATTTTAAATTTTCTCAACCTGTATCACATAGAAACAACTTTACATACACATAGGAATAACAAAGAGATAATTAGGTGAGCCTCTCTGAGAAAAAAAATCACATATAACCCATTGTACTATGCTTGTTTTAATGCAATTATTTCAATGGTTGCTTAGCACGAAGCCCTTCTGAGCCTGGTCCTTGGAGTGTTGCGCTCCTGGAATGTCCCTCTGTATCATCTAGTCACGGAAGTTCGTGGTATGCAAGGATCCCAAGGTGACATCCTATCAAAAGCCGTAGAGATTGAGGAACGTAACAAACAACTGCTAGAGGGCATGGAGAAGATAGTTGGTGAGGTGAGCAGCCTAGTGACACTTCTTTGTTTTTTCTTTTTCTGGGGATTTCTTCATTAATGAAAGAGTTGGGCTCTATGAAGAGAAATGAGTTTTGAAATATTCTGTAAGAACAAACTTTAAGCATTTTATATTCTACACTGCTATTAAATCAAGCAAGAGCCGAGTAATTCATACTGATAGATTCTACTGTAAGTGAGTCTTAGAATTCCACTGTCATGTTTGACAGGTACAGACTTTCCCATACTCCACACAAATCCATCCAAGCCTTGGCCCTTCTTGAGGACTGGCATTTAAAATAATTTTAAGTGAAAGAAACTGGAGAGTAGAATCTGTAACCTAATGTTTTCCTCAGTGTATTCTAGGCCACCTGTTATTGAAATTCTGCTCATATACTTTCTCTTTTCTCCCTATACCAATGTGCAAGAGGGAACAGAGAAAAGAGAAAATCAAAATCAGATTGGATGGTGTCGACCCCACTCCCCCACCTCCCCCCGCTAAACAGGTCTGTCAGGGAAGGAAGGAGATCGGGAAGACAAGGTGGGGCATCGATGCTGCCTCAGCACCACTAGAGTTCAGTGGGCGACAAAGGACAGGGGTGCATCTTTTCTGAAGTGCTTTTTGTTTTGTAATTTATAGAGTTGTGTCATCCTGAATCTTGTTTTGGGGGGCTTCAAAACCGAAACTCATACACTGCATGTAATCTCCCCAAATAATTTCATATTTATATTGAGGAAATATTTTTAATACATATCTCCATTTGGATGGGATCACTTCAACATGAGCGAAAAAACATCTGAACAGCTTTCTGAAGTTCTCAGACATCATGTATCATCTAAAGAAAAATACATGATTATGAAAATAATAACAGGAGAGCTATTTTCTTATTGTATACAAAGCCCATATTGTCACGTGGCATGTGGTCACTGTCATAGGAGAAGGACATGCCCCACGCAGACAGAGCGCACTTTAACGTCAGGGCGGGTGCAAGAAGCACCTACCTGTTCAAGTGATTTTCTTCATTTCTGTGGGCCTACTTTCTGAGGTCACTAATTTGTCCTATATGCCATTTTTTGTTCTTTCTTCAAAAACCATGTATTTATTTATTCTTGTTCATATCATGGTCCCTGGCACAGTAAATTTTGTCATAAGGGTCAAGCACCAAAAATAAAATAAAAAAATTTAGGAAGCAAGCCAATACACACATGCACACCTTTTATTAAATACATTTTAATTTTCAGTAGGAATCCCGGGTTTAAAAAGATATTCTTAACATTCATGAGAAAGTGAGTTTAGTGATCAGACTGTACAATCCCCCCACATTTGTACCTCCTAACTCTCCAGACTCGCTGACAGCCTTAGTTGCCAAGCTGTTACTAGGCCTCTGGGGACTCTGGGGACTCAGGTCTCTGGGGACTCCCAACATGCAGAGGCTGATGGCGAGGGTTGAGTGGCATGTGCTCCTTCTCCATGTTGCTCAGTTGCCTTTTGCTATCACAGCTGTGCTCCCGCCCACCACCCACTCTCACTACTGGTGGGTTGCTGCCAACACCCCTCTCTAACTGGCACTTTCCCAGAAACTCCCACCCCACAGACCTCAAAAGAAAGCAGCTATTCCTCATAAAAATTTGGTACTTATCTGTCCTGGGTGGATTGCGAAAGTCCCCTGACTACTTCAGCAGGTCATCTTAGTCTTAGTCATCACTAGATTATCTGGACCTTTAAGTTTCAAGCACAACCCTCTTCTATTCTAATATCTCTGCTATGTATACTATATGGGGAATAGAATCTGCTCAAAGCAGGGGAAAGATCAATGCAATTAATATGACCTGTCAGAAGAAATAAAGTACGAAGTGCACATCAGAGACCAGCAACCAAAATGAAGCAGTCTCTCAAGTGACAGAATGGAGGCTAGCTGCTCCATGGTCCCTTTGTCGCATTCACATCCACATTCACGTAGCAGCTTCCTGGCTCTCCACCTAGCTACTGCTCCACAGACATACTTCACCTGTGATCCCATACATGTGAGAAAACTTACACATGAGTTTTGCTTCTAGTTTTTAAATTATAAATATTCATAGATTTCTGATACACTGGCTCAGTGACCAATGCCTCTCTCTGGAGAGTTTCACATTCATGTCTCTTCCACAAATATTATTTCAACAATTAGAACAAAGATAAGCAAATACTAATAGTACTACTAATAATAATAATACTAAGTCACTATCTTTTGGGTCCTCAGGTTTTTCCTGGAGTCAAAGAAAATGAGATCCTCTCTGTCTGGCCGGGATTTCCATCTCCGCAGGCGGCCGATGAAGACAGTCGCCTTTCTGCTTTTTATAACCTGCTCCACTGCCTGCGCAGGGATTCGCACAAGGTTGACAGCTACCTCAAGCTCCTGAAGTGCCGAATCATCTATGATAACAACTGCTAAGCTTACAACCAGTCCCTCTGTTTCTGAGATGGTTCTTAATGATCCATCCCATAGCAAGCTTCTGCTACTTTTATAGCTTTGTAATGCATGCTTGGTATAATGGGTCTTGTCTTAAAAAATAAAAACTGACTTCTTAGAGGTGTCAAAATCTAAAAAGGCAATTTGTCAAAGTTTCTTATCTTTATTTACTAGAAAATCAAGAGAAAATTCATCACTACCACTGAGAATTTCCTATTAAAATTTGTCACAAATAGCAGAAATTAGCATTACATATAAGACAATTAACAGCTTAATTTAGAATCATAGTAAATCATTGGGGTCGAGTTATGTGAATCAAGGAATTTGATAATTATTAATCATGCTGGTCATGCCAACAAGAAGACAGAATTTTCAGGATTCTTTATAAAAGCCAGCCATATCTCATCAGCTAACTTTCATAGTATTATGACAAACAATTTAAGTACTATGAAATTGTAATATACCCAAGTAGCATGAAGACTACTAAACAGTCTAAAATTAGTAGGACACTGTCTTAGTATGTTCAGCCTACTACCTCAGACTGGGTGGCTTATGAACAACAGAAATTTAATTCTCACAGTTCTGGAGGTTGGAGTACAAGGTCAGAGTGCCAGCATGGTCAGATGAGGGCCCTCTTCTGGGTCACAGACTTTTTATTGTATCCTTACACAGAAGAAAGGGCTAGAGAGCTTTGTGAGTCTCTTTTATAAGAGCACTACTCCCATTCATGAGACCCAAACCTTATAACTTAACCACCTCTCAAAGGCCCTACCTACTACTACTATCACCTTTGGGGATTAATATATCAACATATTATTGAATTCTGGGGTAACGCCAACATTCAGACCATGGCAGATACAAGCATGCATGGCCATCCTTCTACGGCGCTGTCTTCATCCACGCTATACAAACTCCCATCTTCCTAGTACTGCCTTGGACATAGTCCATCTATTATAATAACTTTGAGTTTAATAAGTCCAGTCCAGACAGGTTTAAATTCCATCCCATATTCAACCTCTTTAATGCTTTCCTCTCCCCCATTATGGCCCATGAGCCTCACAGTGAAAGTAGATGTCATCTATTTCTGCAAGCTTCTTCTCTCTCCTTCTTCTGCATCTCCATTCTTCTGTTATGCTGGATGGGACAGAGGATGAGGAGAAATGAGAAAGTTTTGATGTCACTGACTTATGTGATGCTTTTGTAGTCTTCTCATTGCTGACAGAGACAAAGCTTGAATTCCTTCTGAGTGGCAAGTGTGCCTCTTGTGGGGATACCCTATTATATAGTTTATCAGGGGGAAATTTTTTGGCTCGATTCTTCTCTCCACCCCACAGCCCTGATGTGTTTGGTATTCTCCGCAGCCCCCTCTGCTATTCCCTTCTCCAGCAAGTACCTTACTGAATAAAAATGGATCAGTGTCAACTATCTACCAACTGACATACAGAAAACTCAGGCCTCATAACCACTCTAAACAACCGAATGCCAATAATACTGGATTGCTTGTGACCTCTTCCTGGGGCCCCTTAACAATTCTCTTCTCCCCTTCTTCACATAGACACCAAATGGGTGAGAAAACTGGATTCATAAGCACATATTAACCTGAGGAATGAAATGCCATTCTCTCCTTCCTTTAGATCAAATAACCAATTATCTCTTTGAATAACTGTCTTAGAGAGTTGGCCTTAGACACATTCCTACTTAGCCACTGAATTGCAGCACTGTCGTCATACACCTAATTTTCTACTGATGGAGACTGGAGAGAGGTGACTGCATCGGGGCAGCTCAGCTTATTCAACTGCCTCTAGACAACCTGGGAAGAGGGCCTGCCTCTTGCTGCTCTCCTTACAAAGCAATGGCATTGCCGGGCTGTTTTGCAGCAGCTTTAGGGCTTTAGCAGGATTTCCTAGACAACAAACAATAGGAAATATTCCATCCAACATCCTGATAGAGATGAAATAAAAAGGTAAGTAGAAAGGGGAACAGAGGGGAAGAAAGGAAGAGGAACAGAGAGGGAAGGGAAAACATGAAGAGAAAAAGTAAGCAGAAGACATAGTTTGTGACGGATAAGCTGCTATTAGAATACTCTACTTGGTGAAGACCTAAATTTTTATACTCTTACAGCAAATATCTCATATCTTTCTTTTACCTTCTTTTCCTCCTTTCTCTTCCTGTTCCAAAATGTCCTTTTGTATTAGGAGTATTCTTTGCCCTTAATAATTGAGTTGCAATGGCTCTAGAGAGGAGCAGAACTTGGTACCTCTTCAGATCACAATTCCACTGCTGGGATTATACTGTAAGAATCCTGAAACACCAATTCAAAAGAACCTATGTACCTCAATGTTCATAGAAGCACAATTTATAATAGCCATGTGCTAAAAGCACCCTAAATGCCCACCAGTAAGTGAGTGGATCAAAAAACTGGTACATTTACACAATGGGATAATACGCAGCAGAAAGAAAGAAGGAACTCCTACCCTTTGCAACAGCATGGATGGAATTGGAACACATTATGCTAAGTGAAATAAGCCAGACAGTGAAAGACAAATACCATATGATCTCACCTATAAGTGGAAGCTAATCAACAAAACAAACAAGCAAGCAAAATGTAACCAGAAACATTGAATTAAAGAGCAAACGGACAGTAACCAGAGGGGATGGGGGAGTGGGATAATGGAGGAAAATAGGGGACAGTCCATCAAGGAACATGTATAAAGGACATATGGACAAAGCCAAGGGGGGAGGTTTGTGGGTGGGAGGCAGGGATGGGTGGGTCAGGAGCCGAGGTGGGGTGAGAAAGGAAACAATTGCACTTGACCAAGAAAATAAAAGAATTCAAGGCAATTTTCTTCTGCCATGCAAAGAAACATTTTCCCCACATATAAAAACATTGTTTACCAAAACCAGTCTCTTCCCTCCAAACCGGGGTTATTTATGTCTAAGTCCTGCTCCTGCCTCTGGCTGTGATGACCCAAACCTTTCAGAATACCATGTCACAAACTCGTCTATCAGCCTCTCCCTTTGTTCCTGCATGCATACAAGAGGCCAGCTTTCTCATATTGCAGCTCTCCTCTTAAAAGGCATGAGAATATAGAGAAAACTTTATGTACTTTCATAAGTCATTTATTGCTGAAAAGATCTAATTCTCTTCTGTTACTCCTTAACTTTGCTTTTTTTTTCAGTATCTAGATATTTCCAACAAAGAGGATGATATTTATCAGAGTGAAAATTGTCAATAAGAGGACAATGCAATTGTATGACACATAAGTTCACCACTAGCCCACATACATCTTCATGTATTCTTCTCTTAAAGGTTTGTTCCAAGCACAAATTTAGGACTTCAGATAAATAACTGAGATGGTGATATTAAAAGGCCTCTCCCTGCTTGACCATGACATATAAACTGAATACTGTAGTTTTCAGACAAGATTGAGCAGAGCCATGGGTATTCTGTAGAGTCAGCAAGGGGTAGCTAGAAAGAGAACATTTGGGGAAAATATGACAATTGCTCCCCTGCCAACCAGAGTGATTTGTTTTTCTTCTTTTTTACAGATTTCTGTGTAAGATTACATTTGAAGAAATGGCCCTACTAGAGCAACAATAACAGCCATGGTTATAAAAAGAAACAAATACATGGAAAACCCTTGAAATTAACAGGTCACATAGATTAGTAAATCATGTGTCATAGGTACTAAAGGGACTGAAAGAGAGGTAAGAAAATTATCTTAGAGAATTTTGTTCTCAAGTTGTAGAAAAAGGGAGTGTTACATAAATATGCAAATTACTATAGTATATGGCAGAGAAAAGATAGTGTAATGGGTGATGCTAAATAACATGCTAGAGTAAGTGAAGGGCAGCTAGGAGACATTTGTTTATGAGGAGGAAGTTTTTCAGAGTGACACCATTGTGATGGCTTTATGATGAAGTTTTAAAGGATTGATGGAATATTGTTAGGCAAAAACAGGAAGACGGCATATATGTCAATTCATTTAGACTCATTTAATAATATAAGTATCTCCTGCATCCTGAGCAAAAAGGAACGGAGGTGTCAATGCATGTAGTATTATAAGGTATCAGTGAACAATCAAATTTGACCAAAACACAAGAAATGTTCGCTTTTTTAAACAGACATGTAATACCTCTGATGATTATGCTCCCATGACATGCTACACACATCACAGTACGATGATAATGAGGGGAGCCCTTTTAGGGATTGTTAGTGTACTGTGGAGAATCATTTATATCAATTTGAAGAGATTATACTTATTCTACAAGGCAAGAGGAAACCAAAAATTTTAGGGCAGGAGAGAAATATGTCCAGAATTGGAAAATAGAAAATGAATCTAGTTTGGGGGGTTGTGGAAGGGTAGGACTAGTAGAGGAAACGAAGCAGCCCAGAAATTCGCTGGAATATTACTATGACCCTTTAAATGAAAATCAAAAGGCACTCCACCTGGAGGATAGAAGAAAGAAGCAAAGGGTGTGAGAAATCTAGAAAGAGCAATAGAACTCTACTGTATAGAGGGAATGAAGCAGATATAGATCAAAAAGGCATCCAAGAACACAAGACCAGATAAGTAAAACAAATGATGATAAAGTCAGAGAGAGGGATGAGAAGGTAAATTAAGGTTTTGTCCAAATGCATTTGAACTTCACTTTCCTGTATTTTATCAACTTTGCACCAGAAATTATCAAAATGTTGTTACTTTAGCAAATCACAGAGATGAGTACATTTATCCACTTTCTCTAAGCATTTTCACTCCTTTCTCCTAAACCCACCCTTGTTTACTGCTCTTTCAATGTTTTACTCTCAGCAGATGGTCAGTTAATCACTAATCCAATAAAGAATTAAAAGCGTTCTCCCTAAGATAATACTCATATTGAAAGACCCTTGAAAGAAAAGCTTTCTAATCCCCCAAAATAAAAGTCTAATAGTGAGGTGACTGTTCTTCAGAAGCATCTTTCCCAAATGCCCCATAAGAAGA